TATGATTTTAATGAAAATGTGACTTTCATCCCCACTGGATTAACTAAAGTCATCTTTTATTTGGCATTATCAGCTTTTATCTTTTTAAAATGTTCAGATTCATTCATTCATACAACACAAAGGTAGTTTTCTAAGGCAAGCAATATTCCTAAGGATGCTTTTTGACTAACCAAGCTTAGTCATTATATAATTACAGTGGAAAAATATATATGTAAAACCACGAAGTTTCATAATATGGTGTTTAAGGAAGTATTTGGGATTCTGATATTAGCACATGTTCCAGTCAGTCCAATATTTATTCATATCAGAAGTAACAGAGACACTCCAATCTAGACAGTTCTCCTTTGTCTAGCACAGATACCTAAAGATAAAGCAGAACTCTAATGCAATAAATTAAAGAAAATAAAGGATGTTTGAAGAGATATGCTGCTTTAAATAGGAGTGACATGATTACCTAAAAGCATATTATCTTTTTAATGGAAAGAAAACCTTTGTTGGCTTCCTCTGCTATGAGTGATAGAATTTCTTACTCATCTTAGGCAAAAATAGACCAGTGACTGGCTGAGCTCCAGTGGCTGTAACAAACCAAAGATTCCAAGATATTTGCATTGTATCTGGTAGCAAAAGTGATAAGATTTGCTCCATGAGATGCAGGCATCCTGTAGGAATGAGTGGAGAGGAAAGGAGCAAGTTTTGGGGTACGTACTTTATGTAAGCACCATGAGAACTATTTTGTATGTTATTTCATTTACATCTCAGACAACCCCAAAAGATAGTTATCATTCATCTCAAATAACAGCAAATTAAAAGAGAAATTAAGAAACTTGCCTGATCTTTGTGTTCTATAATAGACATTACCTGGGCAAACAGAGAAAACAATATAAATAGCAGTTCTTGAGGTCTGCAATATGGTGGCCCCCTGTAAGACTCTAGCATGACTTAGTCTCTTCTTCAACTTTCTAAGACATCATTTTCCTCCCCCAACAAGCTTCTTGTGATAATGCAAGAAGGTTTGTAGTGCTTCATGAATGTTAAGCCAAACCAAATTAGTAACTATATTTCTACTTGAGTTTGCATGTAAGCTTTCTCCAATGAGGAAATTGGCTGAAAACAAGATATGATGTTATAGGGACATAGCAGAAATTCCCTCAGAAGTTATTTAATTTTCTAATTTTATATTAATAAAATTCCCTTTTTTTCTTTAATAGTTTCCAGATCTCAAGAAATGATGACTTTTCATTAAAGGTTGCAATAGTAAATGTGAAAATGTAGTTTGATTTTATAGTCCTACATGGTCAAGAGTTGTAAACATTTTCATTTTTTCAATAAGGCCTTTATGTGTTTCACTATATTTGTCACAGATCCTGTGTTAGTGTCAGTGATGGTGTTTGATAGGTGTCTGATACTCTCTTTTAAAAGTCTTAATGTTAAGCTGAGCTGGACTTAAAAGTTGTGCTTCAACTTTCACTTTACTGTTCCAAGATTCTTCTTTTAAATCGACAAGTCCTAAAGCTATCTCTACTCAGTTCTCTAGGATCAAATTGTGAAATTAATGTGAGTTAAGGAGAGATACCCAAGAGCTTCAAAAAGGAGGTGGGTGGAATTATTAGGGTGGTATTAAATAAAAAGAAGAAATGCACATTGCCATCTTCCTGTGATTTTTTATATTTAATATACTTGTGATTGTCTCCCCATCACCCATAAATGCAAAACACAGTCACACATGTATACATACGGAGCCACACACACACACACACACACACACACACACACACACACTACATCCTTGTTTTCCTACCCACTGGACTTAGCAGTCAAGCAGCCTTGGGCAAGTCATTTACACTTCCAGAACTTAATTTTCCTCATTGAACAATGGGAAAATGACACTACCTTTGTTATTAGGTAATTATAAAGTTAAATTAGTTATCATATGAAGACAACACATCAACAAAAATATTAATCATTTTTATCTACACAAGATTTGTTGACTATCCTTTATAATCTGTCAGTTTGTTATATCAAATTTAGTACTTCCTTATATTACTGTTTATAATGATTTAAATGTTAATGTGTATTAGTTTTATCTACTCCCTTATATAATAAGTGCCTGAAAGCACTTGGGGTCTAAGATTAGTTCATGGGAAGAGTCATGAACTCAAATCATGAGATATTGAGTTTTTGAACTAAGAATTTATAATCTTTGTAACACTCATGCAGTGCTAATTGAAAAATTATTTAAGTGAATTAAATATTTGGTCATGTGAACTAAAAATATGTGGTTCCCTATCAAACTACCACTGGCATTTTTCACAGAACTAGAACAAAAAATTTTGCAATTTGTATGGAAACACAAAAGACCCCGAATAGCCAAAGCAATCTTGAGAACGAAAGAAGGAACTGGAGGAATCAGGCTCCCAGACTTCAGACTATACTACAAAGCTACAGTTATCAAAATGGTATGGTACTGGCACAAAAACAGAAAGATAGATCAATGGAACAGGATAGAAAGCCCAGAGATAAACCCACGCACATATGGTCACCTTATCTTTGACAAAGGAGGCAGAAATGTACCGTGGAGAAAGGACAGCCTATTCAATAAGTGGTGCTGGGAAAACTGGACAGCTACATGTAAAAGTATGAAGTTAGATCACTCCCTAACACCATACACAAAAATAAGCTCAAAATGGATTAAAGACCTAAATGTAAGGCCAGAAACTATCAAACTCTTAGAGGAAAACATAGGCAGAACACTCTATGACATAAATCACAGCAAGATTCTTTCTGACCCACCTCCTAGAGTAATGGAAATAAAAACAAGAGTAAACAAATGGGACCTAATGAAACTTAAAAGCTTTTGCGCAGCAAAGGAAACCATAAAGAAGACCAAAAGACAACCCTCAGAATGGGAGAAAATATTTGCAAATGAAGCAACTGACAAAGGATTGATCTCCAAAATTTATAAGCAGCTTATGCAGCTTAATAACAAAAAAACAAACAACCCAATCCAAAAATGGGCAGAAGACCTAAATAGACATTTCTCCAAAGAAGATATACAGAGTGCCAACAAACACATGAGAGAATGCTCAACATCACTAATCATGAGAGAAATGCAAATCAAAACTACAATGAGATATCATCTCACACCAGTCAGAATGGCTCTCATCAAAAAATCTAGAAACAATAAATGCTGGAGAGGGTGTGGAGAAAAGGGAACCCTCTTACACTGTTGGTGGGAATGTAAATTGATACAGCCACTGTGGAGAACAGTATGGAGGTTCCTTAAAAAGCTACAAATAGAACTACCATATGACCCAGCAATCCCACTACTGGGCATATACCCTGAGAAAACCATAATTCAAAAAGAGTCATGTACCAAAATGTTCATTGCAGCTCTATTTACAATAGCCCAGAGATGGAAACAACCTAAGTGTCCATCATCGGATGAATGGATAAAGAAGATGTGGCACATATATACAATGGAATATTACTCAGCCATAAAAAGAGACGAAATTGAGCTATTTGTAATGAGGTGGATAGACCTAGAGTCTGTCATACAGAGTGAAGTAAGTCAGAAAGAGAGAGACAAATACCGTATGCTAACACATATATATGGAATTTAAAAAAAAAAATGTCATGAAAAACCTAGGGGTGAAACAGGAATAAAGACACAGACTTACTAGAGAATGGACTTGAGGCTATGGGGAGGGGGAAGTGTAAACGGTGACAAAGCGATAAAGAGGCATGGACATATATACACTACCAAACGTAAGGTAGATAGCTAGTGGGAAGCAGCCGCATAGCACAGGGAGATCAGCTCGGTGCTTTGTGACCGCCTGGAGGGGTGGGATAGGGAGGGTGGGAGGGAGGGAGACGCAAGCGGGAAGAGATATGGGAATATATGTATATATATAACTGATTCATTTTGTTGTGAAGCTGAAACTAACATACCATTGTAAAGCAAGTATACTCCAATAAAGATGTTAAAAAAAATAAAAAAATAAATAAATAAATCATTGCCAAAAAAAAAAAAAAAAAAAAAAAAAATATGTGGTTAACAAATGAATTTCAACTAATTCATATTTTGGTATTATTGGGGTATAACTAGAGACACTTGAAAGAGATTTTTGATTGCAGTTGAATTTGAACTTGGATGGTACAATTTAATGAATCAGAAATTTCAGAATTTAGGCTAAAAGTTTGACTGGCTTAGTAAACATTGATTTTAAGTGAAATGGCTAGATATAGAAAATTTTCAAACTTTTCTAAACACCATTATTTATCACAGTCCTTAACTTTATTTGATCAATGACAGAACAGATATGCTCTTGAACTGAAAAGAAAGCTGCGTTTTAATGGGTATATATTAGAAGATTAAGTTTAATGACCACCTCTTTTTTTTTGCCTATTTGGGAAGAAATATCATGTAATTTCATAGGGCAAAACAATAAACTTACTGAATTATTTCTTGATGCAAACCTCTAAATGAATCCCAGGTGATGTATCTAATAAGCAGGAATCATACTACATAATTAAACAACTTCAAAGACAAGTTGTTGAATTGATTCTCCTTTTGGACTCCCTAACCTTGATAGTAACGAAAGCATCATTTTAGCTATCCTTTGAAAATATCAGTTCTCATGAAGTACAAAAAAATGGCATTGAAATGCAAGATAAATGACTATCACTTATAAAATTAGTATAGCTTTGTAAATATATATATATATGCATGCACAATTGATTCTGCTATAATCATTCATATGGAGCAAATATTTTTGATGACAGAATCAGTTTTACCGATTTTTCCCTTTGCCTCAGGTTTCAGCATGGCTCTGCAGGGCATTATGACTAATTCTGTATTTAGCCTTTTGATATTTTGTTCATCCTGGCTTGTTTTGCATTCATTTGGATTTTTTAAAAAATATATTGCATTAAAATATTATTTGTATTGAAAACTGAGATAATGTTACTTTACTTAATCTCTGCCACTCCTTATTGTATAGATCCCCAGTACTGAGTTCTTTTGTTGATCATCCTGCTTGCATTGAAGTACTTGGTCCTCTCCTCAGTTGATGACTAACCTCCTGTTTCCTGCAGGTATCTGAATTTGTGATCCCTGCTTTGTTCATTAAATTTTGGAAAATTTCCTAGTTCACAGCACTATCAGCTAAATGGTGTTTATGATTGATCTTGGGGTTTCTTTGTTCTAACTGCTATTAATAGTATCCAGAAAGTTTACCAGATAAGCAAAACACTTTTTTAGAAAATTCTGAGTATCTTCTTATTGAGAAGAATTTACAGTGGACCCTGTATATCATACATGCCAACCAAACATGGCGGTTTATTTCCATGGAAATACACATTTCACAAAGAATCACTGATTCTTTTCACTTGGAAACTTAACCATGGAAAATCATTCTTTCTGAAGTTTGATGGCTTTGCTTCTTGAGGGTTCTAATGACTAATTTTAATGGTGATTTTAGAAAAAAAATATTGAATAGCTGTTTAATAATCTGTGAAGTAATAAAGCACTATCATTTCAATACCTTTAATAACTTTTATTGTACTAGTTACTTGTTCTTTGATATTTTAGCCTTGAAGTGGCTTTTCTGTTAGACTAATTGCCTTTGGAACAATTGATAAGGAGGTGAGGTAGTGCAAAAATGTGGGTAGATGCATTTGATCATTTCCTATTTATGTTGCATCTGAGGCCCTTTTATTCCTTTTTAACATTGATTAATATCACCTGCCACCACCAAAAACTCACTCTATACACAGGTAAGCAATGTGATTCAAACGTGTCATTTTTCACAGAAATTAGGAAAAGACATGCTTAAATGGGGGATAATGTTAAAAGTTAGAAATTTTAACTCAAAATAATTATTTTAATTTCAATTTCAAATTTAGAGGAGCAATGTGGGTCAGTGGGCTTTTGAGAATTTATAAGAAGGGTTTAAAATGGCGGTTAACCTTAAACACAGTTAAGGAAACCTAGTTTCTGTTTAATTAAATGGATTAAGACACTGTGGAAAGTCTTGTCAATAAAATGAACTCTGTCTTCCTTTGGGATGTACTGCATCACTAACCAGCCAACATACCAAACAGTGGGATTGCCAGTGATTGCAAAACACATTGTTGCATTTTAAACCACTTACGTTGGGCTTCCCTGGTGCTGCAGTGGTTAAGAATCTGCCTGCCAATGCAGGGGACACGGGTTCGAGCCCTGGTCCGGGAAGATACCACATGCCACGGAGCAACTAAGCCCATGTGCCACAACTACTGAGCCTGTGCTCTAGAGCCTGAGAGCCACAACTACTGAGCCCGCGAGCCACAACTACTGAAGCCTGCGCGCCTAGAGCCTGTGCTCTGCAACAAGAGAAGCCACCGCAATGAGAAGTCCGCACACTGTAATGAAGAGTAACCCCCCTCGCCACAACTAGGGAAGGCCCATGCACACCAAAGAAGACCCAAAGCAGCCAAAAATAAATAAATAAAATAAATAAATTTTAAAAAACACTTGTGTTGAAAACTTTACCTCCTTTAACAATAAAAAATGTAATAATTGTTTCTAGACATTGCACGTTATATTTAGAATATTTATCCACACCTTAACCTTCTTTCTCTCTCTCATCTCTACTGACTTTAAAGACTCCTAGAGTTTCCTAATTTATGGTAGTGTCTTTCCGAAATTTAATTTGTAAAATTATTAGACGTTGTTGGTCACTTCTTCCTTCAACAAGGACATTTTTTCATTGCCTCCAGTTACTTCATACTATTGGTTTCCCCTTGACTTCCTTGGTTAAACTTGGTGGTTTATTTTCTGTATGACCTTCCCTTAAATAAATGTTGCTCAGAATTTTGTCTTAGACTCTCCTCTGCTCTCCTTTCCTTACTCCTCTGATTTCCTCACTCTATATACTATCTTTTGGCAATCCTACTCTCATAGGCTACATGCTTCTGACTACCTAGTCCATATCTCTAGCTCAGAACCCTCCCCTTAGATCCATCTATTGCATACAGAAATCTCCCCTTGGATGTGCTATGCACACCCTCATTCAATCCCATCGTGCTCCTCCTCTGAGTTTTTCCATTTTTGTAAACAGAAAAATTCATATGCCCACTTTCCCAAAACAACAGCCTGAAGGCTGTCCTGAATTCTGTTCCTTAATCATTCCATCAAATTCTGTTCATTGTGCTCCTTAATAAGGTCTCAAATTGCTCTGCTTTTTGCAATTACCACACCACGACCTTAGTTTTACCTCCATTGTTTCTCGAATTCTAGAACAGCTCTCTAACTCCAGTCTCCCTGTCTTGGATCTTGTCACTCTCCAAACACATTTCCACACTACACGCAGAGTAATGCTTCTGAAGGCCCTTCATGGAGGCCTTCTCAAACCTTTCTCTTCCCATTTCTTAGACTTATCTCTTCTCTCCATCCAGAATCTCTCTCTTTCCTGTCAAAGCTACAGTCAAAATTGTTCTTCACTACCACTTCCTCCAGGCCTTTGTCCATACTTTCCCTTGCTTAAAATACACTCTCTATCCCTATTCTCTGGAATAATCTCCACTTGTTGTGTAGATTCAGTTTCTGAGCCCTACCTTCTGGCAAGTAACCTTGAGCAGTAACCTGTAAATGCATTGGTTGGCCATCCTCTCTGCACCCATAATACTTTGTGAGTCTCCTTGTTATTTCATTATATCTACAGGATTCCTTGTCTGCTTTCCCAATAGAAGATCCTAAGAGTAGTAGATAGAAGACCTTTGGGCAGCAATTCTGATCATATATATAAAGTTCTGCCAAACTGCTAAAGGAGAGGACTTGGAAGAGAGGATTTTCAGAAAACAACTGAAATGACTCCTACTCATAGTTGGGGGCAAAATAGATTGAGTATGAGGTCTTACTGGAAATGTGACACATTTGTGCTCAGCAGTGGGGAGAGCCAACTCACATATTGTGTTACATCATACTGCACATTTTTTAGCATTTTGTTACTGGGTGATTTGTTTTGAAATATTTGTCTTGTTTCCCTCATTTATTTTAAACTTCTCGTGGGGGAAGACTTTAGTCTCTACCAGGTATAACATCAGAGGTCAGGCTCCAGAGTCTGAGAATCAGATTCCAGTACAGCAGTTACAATATTCCCATGTTAACGTGTCAATAAAGTGACCACAGGATGGTGATCAGTGAGATATAAATGGATTATAACTGAGAAATACAGTTCAAGGGAGAGACTAAAAAATTATATGAGTATGTTTTAAAGAAAATAAATTGGAAGTTTTTATATTGGAAAAAATTTGAAAAGGATGTAATAATGTTAGTATTACATTTGCATATATTAGTTTTAATTCATGATTTTAAAATATCTCTTTTCAGTGTTGTGACCCATGTGGTCCACTAATAGTATCATCCTGACCATCACTAATGTTCAGTGGGAGCAACCACATATGGATTCTTCATATATCTGACCTCTAATACTATTCTCCATTTGTAGGCATTAAGTATCTTCGAAAAGTAGCTGATTCCATGTCTTGGGGTAGGGAAAAGTCAATATGGGTTTGAAAATCTTGGTTTTGCTAGAAATCAAGTATGCTTTCAAAAAAATCTCAGCATACAAAAAGGTAATAGAGTTAGCTTAAAGTGCTTCTAGTTCAGTTTGTGATGATCAAACACCTCTAACAGAATCATAATTATAGTTAAATGGAAAGTTGAGGTTGTGATATGAATCATAATGATGCCTAAAAGATAAAAATTAATAGGTAGAACATGTTGCAGGGTTGTTATACTATAAAAGAAGAGTGACCATATTAGGATATACTTAATCTAAAACTTATTTTTAGTGAGCAGAAGAGTTTTAACAGATGTGAGTATTTTGTATCTTTTATTAAGTACATACTAATTTATAAAATGTAGATTGAATTTCTAGCTGTATAAATAGGGTTGTGAAAAGTTTTATCTGCGGGTACTCTATAAAATGGCTATACAATTCCTAGGCATGTCAGATCCTTAAAGCAGGTTGTGGGTGGGTTTTTTCCTCATTGGTATTGAATGCTTTTGTGAGTTCCTCCAAGGCTTATGGTGAGAATCATGGTGTGTGATGTTGGCTACCCATCTTCCTCCAGCTGGCTACTTCCCCTACCCTTAACCCTGCTTTTCTGGTGGCCCAATAAACAGAGATTCTCTCCTTCAGGGTCCCGTTGTCACTCCAGGGTGACCTCTTAGGCAGCATTTAAAATGGCTCCAGATCTGTTTATCCTTACCTATGTGGCTCCACATCTGGTTCATGGGAAGTAGTTATCCATCCTTGCCTTGAAAACGTAGGGAGTAAGGACTGCCCAATGCAGCCACCTTTGCTTTCTCCTTTGCTTCTTCTTCTAGAGCTTCTATGCAAGTTTTACCTAACAATCAAAAATACAAAAGAGTGAAGGAAGAGACCCTGTATGAAAAACTGGGCGATTCAGTGAACCAAGACTGTACCAGTGGCGGAAATGGAAAATGGTGCCTGCCCAGCCCTCCCCAGGTGACCAGTAATTGTAGAGAGCAACGTTAGATTTGCAAAAATTTTGTAAACAAGTTCTTGCCACACCAATCCCTTCCTTTTTACGATGCCACAGGTCGCTACTTATGAGGGAGCAAACTTCTTGGCTTATGCTCGAATCCTTTTCTCATATTCCACTCTGGTTTGGCAGTAGGTCGTGTAGGCCTCTGCTTTCTTGTACATTTTCTGGCAGGTTTAACAGTAAACTTCAACACCCCCTAGCTACAGATAGCACGCAGCAACTTCTCTGAGAAATCCCAGTGAAACCCCTCTCTCTCGCCTTGCGGTGAAGGGAGAAGAGCCCTCAAGCCCCACTCTTGGCCGCGTCGCTCAAGAACTTCTCCTTACACAGCTCACAACTCTTTTCTGTCCTCAGTTTCTGAACAATTTTTATGTTCCCCATCTGGGCAAGGTCTCTAACTTGTTCTCCTTGGACCATCTTTTTTGAAATATCTGTATGGCAATCTGTTTTCCACCTCATTTTGATATCTGAAATCTGTTGCCTTTGGGTCAACACAATATTATGTTACTATCCTATTAGAGACAAATGTTTCTCATAAT